TGTTTTTAAAAACAAAAAAAACCCCAGCCACTCCCATTTAGAACTGCCTGGGGAATTTTTGACTAATCATTTTTTCATTTGAAAGGACTGAGTCATGAAACCCCAAACTGTCAACAACAGAAATCTCAGAACTTGAGAAAAAGTTTTGAAATATTTTGTTTGAACATTTTTTTTGACCCTTTGAAAATCAGCTCATTATTTAGGAACCTAAATGAGGATTTAGGAGTCCAACTCTAAACTCCTATTTCTGAAAATTACAGTCAGTGAGAACAGAGCTGGGCAAGAAATGTCTTTCCTCTCCCATGAATATTTTTAAGAGTTAAAAATATTTTTTCCCATATTGAATAGGGATGAAAAGTCAAAATCTTGAAAATATTTTTTTTGTTTCGGGGCAATTGAGGTGTTTTGTTTTTGACCATTTGTTCTCCTTTTAACCCTTTTCCCTCCAGTTAAATTTGATTATTTTTTTAAATGAAAAGTCATTTTGACCCAGAAACTGGAAATGTTCCATTTTAAAAAATGTTCAAACAAAATATTTCAAAACTTTTTCTCAAGTTCTGAGATTTCTGTTGTTGACAGTTTGGGGTTTCATGACTCAGTCCTTTCAAATGAAAAAATGATTAGTCAAAAATTCCCCAGGCAGTTCTAAATGGGAGTGGCTGGGTTTTTATTGCTTTTAAAAATCAGGCCACTTGAGGCTCCTATTTTTGAAAATCTTGGCTTAAAATTTCTTGGCTGGTCAGCAGTAGGCTAATGTAAGCGAAAGCCTTCCCCAAGCTATACCACAGGCGTGACTGCTCCTAGAATTCCTCCTTCTGGATACTCAGCCCTCAATCTAGATCCTCTCTTAAGAAAACCACTCTCACTTCACTTATTTGTGGGATGGGTTAACGATCCACCTGCCTCAGAGAGTCAGCATAATCCATACACAGTAGAATCTCCACACCCCTCATTTGGAACCGGAAGTACACAATCAGGCAGCAGCAGAGACCAAAAATAAAAAAGCAAATACAGAACAGTGCTGTGTTAAACGTAAACTACTAAAAATATAAAGGGAAAGTTTAAAAAAGAAGATTTGACAAGGTAAATCTGGGCTTCTTTTATTTAAATGCAGATCATAGAATCTCAGGGTTGGAAGGGACCTCAGGAGATCATCTAGTCCAACCCCCTGCTCAAAGCAGGACTAATCCCCAGACAGATTTTTGCCCCAGATCCCTAAATGGCCCCCTCAAGGATTGAGCTCACAATCCTGGGTTTACCAGGCCAATGCTCAAACCACTGAGCTATCCCTCCCGCAGGTGGTAAAAAGCAGCATTTTTCTTCGGCATAGTAAAGTTCCAAAGCTGGGTTAAGTTGATGTTCAGTTGCAAACTTTTGAAAGAACAACCATAACGTTTTGTTCAGAGTTATGAACATTTCAGAGTGACGAACCACCTCCAGTCCCGAGGTGTTTGCAACTCTGAGGTTCTACCATAACCCTTGCTTGGACACATCAACCCCAGCCACCAGGGGGCAAATGCTGCCAGTTTTAAAATAGTTTTATTTCACTTTCCAGTTGTTTCTGTGCTAGTTATTTTTTTAAAAACAGTGATGTACTGCAGTTATGTAGCTTGTCTAATTCTTACATGAATTCCTTCAGAAACTTTAAAGTGTTTTGCTTAGGAATATTGAGACAGTGTAGGAATTTGACTCTCAGAATATTATTAAGCTCATGATTCTGCTCAGATACTACAGAGATGAGTGTGGCATAAGAACCTATCTAGATTGGACTAGAATAGACTCAGCTTGGGCAGCCCCCTGCCTCTGCGAGTACAGGAATCTATCTGCCTGGAGCGCACTGTCGGATCAGGGCCTTCATTTGGCTTCTCATCATGAGACCTGGTACCGAGGCATCTCCTCGTTCTAGAATTGCTGAGCTCTAGCATAAAATATTCCTCAGGTTTAACTACAGAGTTCCGCGCAGCAGCTCCTCAGTCATTACCTAGCTGTTGCCAAGCCCGGACTATTGGGATCGCAGAGTTTCTCACCTTTTCCTCCCGTGTGTCAACTGTAGCCAGGGAGGCACCGAGCGAAGAGCAGTTGTTCTGGCTGGAGTTCCAATCCCCATCGACCTGTGAGAAGTAGTAGCATTTCCATGGGTATGTTCTCCCTTGGGACCCGATCCAATCGACTGGACATGTGGTAGGGGCATGATTTGGGCAGGGCCTACTGCTAACCACTGAAAATGAAATTAACACAACAGTGAGGAGCTTTCCCATCCCCTCTCTGTACAGGATTCAGAGTCAAAGAGTGATATTCCACCCTGGACTGAGAGCCTGTGGACACAGATTATACCCCACACCCACTTAAGTTCTCCAAATAGGATGTAAGTGGCCCAAAGTTCATGTGCTGGGACTATACCTGGGTGAATTTTATCCTCATGGACAAGGATATAAGAATGACCATGCTGGGTCAGACCAGTGGTCCATCTAGCCCAATATCCTGTCGGATGCTTCAGTGGGAATGAACAGAACAAGGCAATCATCGAGCAATCCATCCCCTGTCATCCAACCCCCAGCTTCCAGCAGTCAGAGATTGAGGGCCACCCAGAGCATGAGGATGCGTCCCTGACTCTCTTGACTAATAGCCATTGATGCACCTATCCTCCGTGAACTTATCTAGTTCTTTTTTGAACCCAGTTATACTTTTGGCCTTCACAACATCCCCTGGCAATGAGTTCCACAGGTTGCCTGTGCATTGTGTGAAGAAATACTGCCTTTTGTTTGTTTTAAACCTGCTGCCTATTAATTTTATTGGGTGACCCTTAGTTCATGTGTTATGTGAAGGGGTAAATAACACGTCCTTATTCACTTTCTTCATACCAGTCATGATTTTATAGACCTCAAGCATATCCCCCCTTAATCGGCTCTTTTCTAAGCTGAACAGTCCCACAAAGCTTCGATGCTGCATCATGAAAGGCTACCGGAGCTTTGCCATTGATCTTAATGGGAGGAACACCAGGCCCCGGATCCCCAGTATAAATTCCATCATAGCACATTAGCAAACAATGGAGGTGGGCGGCTTAATGTGCAACGTGCCTGGAAGCTGGAAATCAGACACAGGAGCATCAGGCTGACTGTTGGGTGTTATGAAATGGGTATGCAAATACTGTGGAATAATATTGTAACGGGGGACTAGGCCTTTAAGGAGAGACGGGCCCTGCCTGATCTGTGCCATAAATAATTCAGGGCTTCCCGGCCTGAGGGGATGGGACTAAGGGGGCTGAAAGAAATCAATCTAGAGTGGAATCAGAATGAGTGGGTAAGATCCTGTGGAAGGTTCTGAGCCAGGGTCTGAAGGAGGCTACTTCTCCAGCCTGGGTGGGGGGAGGGAAATTATCTGTCCCAGAGACCCAGAAAGTTAACTCAGGAGGAACTGGGAACTCACCCTGGAGGGTGGGACTTTTAGTTGGACTTTTGTTATCCTGGAAGGGTGTTACATTTGTTTGTGACTTAGCCAGAGGGACCAGCCTCATTTCCAGCAGGTAGTTGCCCTCTCTCAGAGCTGTTGGTCCAGGCTCTCTGCAGACTCAGGCAGATATACTTGGAAAACTAAGGACACCCATCTTGGTGAGGGAAACTGAGGCTGGGGGTGCTGTTTGGCTAGCAGAGGCTGCTATGAGGTGACCTGAAATCACATGAGATATTTGCATGCCTAAACACTAGGTAGGCATCAAAATGATGATCTCAGGTGCTGAGAACCTATTTATATGGGCAGTTATGATACATGCATGTGCAGACAGAGGCATGCATTTTTGCACCCAGGGCTCTGGCTTTCCTATCTGCAAACATGACCATTCAGGGATGGAAAATGCCCCTAAACCATTATCAATTTTACACGTTCTAGGAAAATCTCTGTTGTGTGCCCCATTTATGATTAGTTAGTGACAGAGGTGGGCGTGGAATGTTACAGGATGGAATTAAGATTAAGTTACTTCCCAGAGGAACCTACAGTCTAATACAGACAAAACACTACATGAAAAAAAGTGTTAAGTTTGCAAAGTCAAACACTCAAAAGTTAGGCCAGGAGGCCACTTAAAGTCCAAGCCTCTAACAAATCTCTACTGAGCATCTATGAATGGAAATTTTTCAAAGGCTTATGACTTGTCCAAATTTGGGTGGTTTTTCATGGGAACTGCCAGGGCACGACCTTGACACAAAGGGTCACCGAACTTAACTCAAGCTTTTCCCCAGGTTTTAGCCCCCCATCCACACAGGAAAAAAAAATGATGTGTTTGGAGGTGATTTAAGTCCACACTGGCTGGGGAATGGGTTAGAATCCAGGCTCTGGTTTAACTCAGGCCGGAACCCACCAACTTAGTACGGAAGATGCAGGCTAAATCGCTCAAGTAAATAAATTTATGAAAATCATTCAAGTGCTCATAGCCGTCCAATGCCTTCCCCACAGCACCCCTTGAAGGACAGACAAGTTCTCCCACAAGTGACTGAGAAGCAATCCCAAAGCACCTTGCCACAAAGAACCATGGGATATGCCATCAGAAGTCCTAACAAGACATGGGAAGCACATAATTAGTGAGGACACAATAATTCGGGTAGGGCTTTGCTGTGGGGATGCCTGCACCTGGGCAAGGCTAGCCTGGGTGCTCAGACTCGGGTGCCCATCACCTGGGTTGGCTGTGCTGTGTAGACATACCCAAAGCCAACGCCCCTGTCAAATTTCAAGTCCCTTCTCCAAGGCACAGAGGCCCTAGAGAGTCTCAACCAGACGGTTGTAAGAATTATTTTGACGGGGGTGAAACAACCGGTTCACAATTCAGACAGAGGGATGAAGCGAAGCAGAAAAGCCAGACTTCAGGCTCTTTGCTTTCCTATCACATGCTGGTTCAGCACCAGCAGAACTACAAAGGTTGGGGAGGCTGGATTGTGCATCTTCCATGATTCTGACTGTGAAGGGAAAACAAACACCAAAAACTCAATTAGGAATTGCTGTCAACTCACCTGCCAAAACAATAACAGCAATAATGAGAAAAACTATAAACAGGACTTTGACTAGCCTATAATATTTCCAGAGGATACGGCAAAGCCAGAAGTGAGATTTATCTGAAAAAGAAAAACACATTAATGTTCCTGAGGCTGCTTTTGGAGAGACAGAGGAACCATATTTATCAACAATGCCTGCAGCCAAGCCCCCAGTGGCCAAGTATTGTTTTGCAATCACTGTTATGAACTATACTTGCCAGTAAATTCTGGGGTATGTAATATTGTGCACTATAGCCATGCCCTGTGTATTCTACAATTCTATGGCTGCAGGGTTCATACCTTGCTGCATAATTGTGCTCCAGAATCTGACCTTTAATTTAAAAATATATATTTCTAGTCCTCGTGGCTTCAAAGAACAGCTTGAAAAGGGGACATGAGTGCAACCAATGCAGCAGTATGTGCCTGAGTCTGCAGAGAGCCTGAACCAACAGCTCTGAGCTAGGACAACTACCTGATTCATCACTATGAAGTATTAACTCTGAAACCTAGATATAACAAAGTGACACATATGGAAAATGTAGGAAGTGAGTAAAATAAGCTGAATTTAATATAATAAGAGCTAGTTGAAAAATGAACACTGGTGAAATTGTTTTCATTTTGCAGTGGTTGAAATCCCCTTCCCATTTTTTTTAATTTTGCAACTTTTTTTCAAAAATTTCAATTAAAAAAAAAGGAAAATCCCCAAGATGAAAAACATTAAATTAAAATGTTTGCTAAAAACCTCAATAAAAGTTTTATTTTTTAAAAAGCAACTTTTTATCTAAAAAAAAAATGACCAGGGCTTGTCATATTAAATAGCACTGAAGATGCTGCACTCATTTCGTTATCTTTTTCGTATTTAATTCCACAAAAGTTCACATTTTTAATTTCTCTGACGCCACTGGAGAATTTCCACCAGATGCAACAGAATCCAGGAATACTGCAGCAGAATTTAAACCCAGTTTGCCACAGAGTACATAGGGGCTGGGCTATAATGTTACATTGTATAACAATTAGTTTGGAGATGTACATTGTTTTCTAAGAAGTGTGATGGAAACACTATTGAGCATCTATGCCGCTATTTCTTGTTCTCCCACAACCTCCCACGTGTACTAAACAGGATCAGGCAAGAACAAGGTCTGAGTCATGCCAGAACACTCCGGCACACAGTTCTGGCACTTTTGTTGGGAGGAGAACAGCGGTACTGGTACGTCTGATCAAAGTCCAGTTATTAGAAGTACTGGAATGTTGTGAACGTCATTCTGGCTCCCCCAAAAAGTGTCAGAATGTGACCCCAGCACTTCTTTTTTTCAGACCTTGAGCACTGGACGAGAAAACCTTTCGATTAAAGGCGCATTGTAAACACAGCAATTCTTTCCATAATTCTTTATCCTTCTTCCATTTGCGAAGCTTCGCTTACCTGGTCTGGTTTTTGTCTGTGAGCCTGCAGGGTTAGGAAGTGCCTTAGCTGTTTCTCCTCCATTCTCTGTTTGATCCGCGTAGCAAGTGGGGCACATTGCTTTCCTGTATCTTCTGGCTGCAATCAGTATCGACTGGCTGCAAGGAAGTGTACATTATTCAAAGGTGGCAAAAATAGTTTTTGTTATTGAGTCTTATAGTACCACCTAGAGGTCATAAGAGATAAGTGTACGCAATGCTGGCCCTGAGCTTTCTCCCATACAGGGCTGGCTCTAGGTTTTTTGCCGCCCCAAGCAAAAAAAATGTTGGCTGCCCCCTGTCCCAGCCCTGGGCTCCTCGCCGTACCCCCCTGCCGCCCCAACCCTAGGCTCTCCCCCCTGACCCGCACCCCCCATACCACCCCAGCTCTGGGCTCCCTCCTACCCCCCCACCATTGCCCCCCCACACACACCTCCTGCTGCCCCAGCCCTGGGCTCTCTTCCCCCTCCCCCCACCTGCACCCTCCTTCCGCCGCAGCCCTGGGTCACTGGTAACTCGCTCCCAGGGCGGGTCATTCAGCAGGAATTTTGGATGTGCACAGAACACAGACAGGATTGGTTCCCATATGGTTACAGAACTGCAGTAAAGTGGAACAATTTTCAGCTTGTGTGATTGGAGGATATCTGGATGCATATTGTAAGACTGTCCTCCATAAATGAGGAAAAGTTGAGGTGCCTTTATTATTCTTTTGTTCCACTCTTTCTTTCTATGGGGAATTTCCCAGTGCAATATCACGATCTTCCTTTTAAACAAACAAACAAACAAACAAAAAGGCAGTGGCTGTTGAAAATAGCAATTCCAGTCCTAATAACCACTGGGAAGAATTTCTTGCTCAATTTTATCCTACTTTTTCTACAGCAAGTTACAGTGGATCAGTAGTTAATGAACTGC